AATATATGCTCTAAAATCCACCAATTGATTATGATCATTGTATAAATGATTTACCATAATAAAAATGATTTTTTTAACAAATAAAAATGTTATGCGATGCATGACGGTAAGTTAGGGTGTTAACACTCGAAGCTAGGCCACTATTTGTTATTGAATATTATGTTGATTGATGATTATGGTAATGATTATTGATTTATGATTATGATGATTAAATCTTGATGAATATTCTAATTAAAAATGATAATTATGAAAGATTAAATCATAATGAATATATTGATGATTGTGGAAATAATATGTATTGTTAAAGGTATCTAAAATACCTCTAAGATATACCCATATTAATGTTAATTTGAAAGGTATCTAGATACCTCTAAGATATACCTATTTAAGTTAGGCCTTGCGGGTATGAACCCCGGTGGCTAGGGTTAAAACGTACGTACGGGGTCCAAGAACCAAACTTGAGTACCTACTCGTTTGGGGGTACCACCCGCCCAACAGTGAACACTACGCTGTCGGTTTCTAGTTGGCCTGAAGTGAAGGTAAGTTTAAGATTTTCAAAACCCTTTTATCTTCAACTAGGTCTAGCTTAAGGATTATTTAGGAATACTTTATATGGGAATATAGTTTAATTATTTAAACTAGAATTTGTTTAAGAGTTGACAAATATTAAAGTGATTGGCCTTAGATTAAGATAGTGTTTAGGAGTGATTAACTTGTGGATAAAATGATTTCCACAAAAGCTGAAAGCAAAAGCACCTCATACCTGCTTCTCCGAAACGGTGTTCTATGTATAAAATAGTGGTGGTGAAAAGCAGAAGCTGACATGCCAAACAGAGTAAAATAACTTCCACTTAAAGCAGAAGCTAAATTATTAAAAGCAGCGCACTGCCAAACACCCTCTAAGAATAGTTTAAGGATATGGTCGAATGTTGAATATTGAATATGAATGTATATTGAATGATGATCATTGAATTGAATATTGTGAATATTATGAATGACTAATGGACATTGAATGTGAATATAAATGTTAAATAATGAATGATGAATATTGACTAATGATTATTGAGTATCTGAACTGAACATTATGTGCATGATATCAAATGATTTGATTATGAATTTAGATTCAATTTATATGGATGTTCGACGCATTAGATATGCTTACTCAGCTTAAACGCTGAGCGTGTAGTATGTTTTATTTGCTACACGCAGGTAAACAAAAAGAATGAAGCAATGATTTCCTGGAGGCAGACAAGACGAGATGGTCGGGTGGATGTGTGTTTTGGATTTAGATTACTGTTTGAAAAGACATGAATTAATTATGTTTGTATTATATTTTATTAAGCTTTCACAACATTAAATTACTTCGTTACTATTTTGAATGACTTATTATGAAATAAGGTTTTAAATGTTTGAAATGTTTTTGAATGTCTACGAATACGAACTATATACTTTGGTCCGAAAGGGGCTGCAGACCTGGACGAATTAGGGTGTTACAGCAAGTATAGATATATACAAGCTGATGGTGTAAATTACCACCCCAGCAAACTAGTCTAGACCGGGTTTAGGGTGGTTCACGAGTTTAGAAACGAAAAGGACTTGAGAAACGAAGATTGACCGGGAGAACTGTAGGTGGAATACTTATACTCCAGTTGTTATTAAGTATAAGGAGAGTACATGGAGGAATTATGCAATATAATTTGGGGAGATAAAATTTGGATCTCTTCTACAGAGGGTTATAAGTCTATTCATAACGAAGCTATGGATAGGGTGGCAAGCACCCATGCGGCGTCACGTGCCAGCCATGTGACTGGATGTTTGATCTGATCGTGACAACACACGAGATTCTCAATCCACTTAGCGCTAATCAAAAGCTCGATGTGTGCCATCAAACAAGAGAGTCCGAAAGTAAAACTACTCAACAAATAAGTCTAATCATATGGGATAAAACATGTATGATTAATAGATTTGCTATTGAGACATTGGATCGCACAATAAGAGATTTAATGAGATTCTTTATTAATTACTCCACAAATGAACCACTCAGGGGGGAAACAGTGGTACATGGAGGTGATTTTCGCCAAATTCTTTCAGCTTTACTGAAATCTTCGAGAGAGGAAATTGTATGTGCTATTGTCAACAACTCAAAATTATGGTCGCATTGTAAAGTTTATACGTTGACCAAGAATATGAGATTACATTCATCTATGTCTTCTTACGTGAATAGGGACACACAAACTTTTTTTGATTGGATAATCAAAGTTGGAGATAAAAAACTTAAGCAAGTAATTGATAGAACTGCTAACATTCAAATATTGCCCGAATTCTTGATTCTTGACACAAATTATCCCTCAAGAGTATAATAGACTTCATTTATCCAAACCTATTCGAGAATATGAAAAATTATTCGTTTTTAGGATATGACACTATTGACACTCGTGCTCGGGGTTGTATAAATGGTAAATGAATTTGTCTTATCCCTCATTGTCGAAGATGAAAATGAGTAGTTTTCATGTTGGGTAGATTCATATGCAGGTGTTGGTGACGATTGAATAACAGTTGAGTGTTTGATTGAAATCAAATGTTTGGGGGTCCCAAATCAAAAATTAATTTTTAAAAAAGGGTACAAATTATGTTATTGTGAAATATTGACCAAACGTCTGAATTCTATAATGGTACAAGATTAATAATTCAAGAGCTGTAAAAAAATGTTATTGATGCAATTATGGTTTGGGAAATCATATTTAGTCTTAAGGCTGGTCTTGAGGGTTTGGTAATCTTGGGCGAGACAAAAAATAGGTCTTGACCCAAACAAATTAAATTATGCCCGGAGTATAAACTATTTTCTTTAAAACAAAAGTCAATGTTATTTTAATACACATAACAAAATTGTAGTATTATAATTAAATATCATAATAGCTATCTTAAAAATCAAGTTTTTAATTTTTTTATTTAAAAAATATTTAAAGAATAAAAATATTGGGTAAAAAAGAGCATGGCAACATGATACCTTGGCCGACCCTATTTAGTCTACATAATCCACACTTCTCGTAAATTTTTATTTTTAAATTTTAGGATTGTAAAGTACTCCGTATTAGTTAAGTACTTTTTAAAATTTTAATGAATTATGTTATGTTTTTTAATTTATTTTTTAAGTTTCATTTTTATCAAATAATACATGTAGTTTATTTAAAATGTAAAATTATTTAATAATTGGATAATAATAGAAGGGACTTGATATTTACATGAACCAATACACTTTTTTGTTGTCTCAAAATGAATCTCTTGACATGGCATATTGGCATTCACAAGGCAAAAATGTCCAATGGAACATGGACCATTACACATGATCCAACCATTCGTTAAAGTTTGACTTGTCCTTTCTTAGATGTTTGGGGTACAGATCGGCATGTAATAAACAGGAGTCTACTAATTTGAGGATCGTGTTCAGGCTTTATGTTTTAGCCCACAAGTTAGTCCTATCCGAATCAATAATAATAATAATAATAATAATAATAATAATAATAATAATAATAATAATAATAATAATAATAATAATAATTTGAGTAAATCACAGATTGTAATTACAGGGGTTAAAAGATGGATAAAATCAAATTACTTGGGCTAACTAATATCCCTAAAGGGAAGTTACCCTTCACCTACTTAGGGTGCCCTATCACTTGTAATAAATTCTCTTCAAGTGACTTTGATGCACTTGTGGAGAAGTTAACAACTAGAATTACAAGTTAGAAAAAAAACTACCTTATGCAGGAAGACCAAAATTGATATCTTCAGTACTAATGGGAGTCATTACTTTCTGGGCTAGGACTTTTCTTATCCCATGAAAGGTCCTGAAACGTATACAAGCACTTTGTAGGAATGTAGTAGGGGACTCATTAGAAGACTTCGTGCGAAGACCTTGAAAGAATTAAGGAAGCCGAAGGCGGGGAGCTATTTCGATTTCAGCGTGGGGAGCTATTTGTTTCATGGTGCACAGGGTAAGGACTTAACAAAAAGCAGCATGCCTAGGAGTTCATTAAGGAAGAAGAAAGCATTGCTTACATTTGGTTTAATCTAAATACTTGTTTACAAAGTAAAAAGGAAGTATATCAAGTGATGTATAGGTGCAGTAACTTGATGTGTGGATAGTAGATATGTTTCTTGATGTATACCTGGTTTTTTGGTGCTAATATATGCTTGTGATGTGTTTCAAAAATACTAATAATAATAATTTCTTCAAAATAACAATAGCAACAACAATTATAATCATAAAAAATAATACTCCATCTTAATGTAGTAATGTCATCTCTTGTTTCGTAGAACTTTTGATGTAGTTTTTAAACAATTAAATTTTATTTTATAATTACATCCCAATTCTCATATAAATCGTCTTAAAATAACTTCAGCCAAATTTCATAAATTGAAACAGACGATTTAAACCGGGACGAAGGAATCAGTAATAATAGCACACACAAAAAGTTACACATGCTAGTGGTTCATTTGATAGGTTATTTACGTATTTATATTACTCCGTAATTTTATGTCACACTTCCAATATCTAATCTTATCTTATATCTTATCTTATTACTCCGTAAAGGAGAGCTATTTAGTTGTAATGGTGACATGCGTGCGTCCACGAATTTTATTAGTTTATTTTTTATTTAAGAAATTTTTCATTATTATTTCATTTAATTACAATAAATTTTTACGGAGTATAAAATTTCTCATCTTCTAATTACTATACTAACACCATTTTCCCCTTTATTCCATGTTAAAAACATACGAGTAGTTTTTTTATGAAATATAATACATTTGCATCATTATTAAAACTATAATTTTTATTTCAAAACAATATAATTTTTATTTCAAAACAATCTATAATTTTCTATTTCAGATCAAATTAGACTAAATCAAAACTTATTCTAATCAGATCAAATTATACTTAATCAGATATTATTCTAATCAGATCAGAACCAATCAGATCAAGTAAAGAGAACATGACTTAAATCCCCCAAATTATATTTTTTAAACAGGGTATATTTTATTGAACAGGCAGATATCATGCTTTGAACAACAATTCTCACATCATGAACACGCAAACTTGCCTGCAGCATTTTCCACAGATTAATGCAACTTCTTAATCAGTCCTAAAACACCTGTCCACCTTTTTTTCAAGTCAAATTAAACAAACTTTAATCATCAATTATGATAAATTTAGATTGCATTTTAATACAATAAAATATATTTGTAATAATTTTCTGCAAAATAAATTTAATACTCCATAAAAATCATTTTACACTAATATATAATACAAATTTTTATCAAATTGGTGGCCAAAATGTATCCAATAAAAACACTACTTTAAACTTTAAAGCATAAATAATTGCCTGATTTGGCAATTCTTGGATGCACATTCTAATACCATTATCCCTTAATTTACCAGCAGGAAAAAAAAAAGTGCCATGTTAGTATTTCAACAAAAAACAACCCAGTAGAGAACAAAAAATTTAAATCAGTGTCAAACAGAAGGAGAAACCACTTCAGTGAACATCAAAAAAGGCAGAATAGTTCATTAAGAAAGATCGTCGAGAAATCTCTAACCATCGTTCAGTTGTTTCACTAAGCATAATAATTCAAGCTAGCCTTCTTCTTGGCCTGCACTTGGATAATGCCTTCGTTGAAATCTTCATGGGTAACCTAACATAAATTTCAGACAAAGAGTAGAATGAGCAGTCGTGACAATTGAAAAGGGAAAGAAGAAACGCACAAGAAACGCACCCGATAAACACTTATGCTATGTTTGGTTCAAGGAATAAGGCGGAAAAAGAAAAGAAAATTGTTCTCTATCATTTTCCTCACCAACCAAAATAGGAGGAATTAAATAGGAGGAATTTTTGTTTTCTCTCCTCTTACTCTCTTAGTTCATTTTGCCTTTTCATTTTCTTTTCCTTCCGCTTTTCTTTTCTTTTCCTCTCTACCCAAACAAGAAAACAACAACAACAACAACAACAACCCAGTTGAATCCCACAACAGTAGGGTCTGGGGAGGGTGTGTGTACGCAGACCTTGCCCCTACTCGGAAGTAGGGAGGCTGTTTCCAAGAGACCCCCGGCTCCACCTGCACAAAAATATGGAAGAGAACACAGTATAACACAGATAAGGCACCAAGTACAAGCAACAAGTACAAACAATAGCAAAAAATTCCCAACAAATACAACACACTACAAAACAACCTCTACAACACCGAGCTTCTATCCAGCTACTCTAATCCTAGTTCTCCAAAGGTTCCTATCTAGGGCCATATCCTCAGTCAGGTCGAGAAGTCCTAAATCCTGTCTTATCACCTCCTCCCAATTCTTCTTAGGTCTACCCCTTCCCCTACTTCCCCC